GTTACCAACTGAACGAACTAATAATTGATCTTGAACAATTGGTTGTACATCTTGTTGACCGTATGAGTTTCCGACAGCACGAACTAATGTTTGATCTTGAACAATTGGTTGTACTTGTTGTTGACCATATGAGTTACCAACAGCACGAACTAATAGTTGATCTTGAACGATTGGTTGGACTTGTTGTTGACCATATGAGTTACCAAGGGTACGAATAAGTGGTTTAAGAGCACTGGATCGTGTGTAGTCAGACCATTGATTGGCAGTATCATCAAAGCTTGTAAGTGGACCTTGTCGATCACTTACAGCCAATTTTTGTTGAATTACTGGTCGTGAACCAATTTCTTGTTTTTTAAAGAATGAATAACCACCACCTAATGTATCGACAAGTTGAGTATCATCTTGTTGAAATCTGAAACGGTTTAAGAATAAAATAGATATATAGACAACAAATAAATTTAGAAAATATATACGTGGTAACGGGTACTGAATTTTGACCATATTGTTGTAATGGTTCTTGTCGTGTAGTGAATGCTCGTTGTGAGTTGTAATCTATAATATTGGAATAAATAATATTAATAAGTATCTTATCATTTCATCTTATTTTCTTTTTACTTACTATTATATGGTGCTGCTGAGCAAAATGCTATGAAAGCGACATACAAGATGGCCTAAAAAGGAATGATAATGTTTTTATGAAAAGTTTTATGCTGATAACTTACGCGATGCATTATTAGTAATCTGTATTCTAATACTGTTTTCAAAAAATGAAGTAAGAAGATACAAATAAAATGTATTCTTTTATATCGTTCTTTATACAATGAACTAGATATTAACTTATGTGATCACGAATAGAATAGATGGATCTCTTTCGATATAAAGCAGCGATGTTAAAACATTCTAGGTGTTAACGCGACCATATACGAATATTAACACATTCCAGGTATTGACGGGACTATATATGAATATATACTAGGCTTTTCTTTTGTGTTCTTCGTTGTGATTACTTTATTCATTCGATTAACTTTTTCGAATATCCAGGGTTGCGATATATCGTATGATAACCATTATAACAAATGACATAGTTTATGTTATGGATTAATGTACTTTTTTTGAATGTTACACAAAATGAATTAATTAACAATACATATATTTTAAGAAGAGAAATTTAATGAAATCAATAATTGGAATAGCTTTACTTATTTTTACTAAGTAGTAATATGAACGCCGAGTACATTTGGTTGGTATGTGACGTCAAAGGTTACTACGGTCGATTTTTATAATAAATTCATAAATCAGCAATCGGTCATTGAACATTTAAAACAATCTGTATAAATAACTCATTGCCTGATTAGAGAATTAATTCCATCTTATTAAATAATCGTATGAAAATTAGATTTCCAAGAATTACAGCTAATATTAATAAATAAACGCGTTACATATGTATTATATCATCAAATGGTTGATCGTAATCTATATTTATGATCAATTAGTATACGTGAATATTAAAATTTTGCGTGAATCTGCCATTTTGTTACCAGCAATATGATCTTATATTTATATATAAAAATGGTGTGAATAAAAATTTCCATTTGTTGCTTGAATATATACATATGGATCTAAAAAAAGTATTCTTTTATGAAGACGTATATTGATCGGTTCGATTCGATCAATATTATTACAAGACATGTCATCTTACCGATTATCTTTTAAATAATATGCGAGTCAAAATAATAATGTATACTATTTTTTATACAAAAATTTTTGTTTTATTTAAATACAATTTGTTTTTCATTCAAAATCATATTCATTATTATAATTAAACACCGGTCCAGTTCTATATCTACTTTATTTTTATATCAATGTTTTACTCGTCACCTTTAAACATGTAACAATATGAATCAAATTATAACGAAATACATTAATTGACGTTTTATAAACGAAACAATGGCGAAACTACAAAAAAAAAGAAGAAGAATGAACCTACACTAGTGTTTTCTTTATTATCGCAAAGTGTTAATTTCTTAAAAGATTTTAGTAATTTCTTCGTCAAGACCACCACTAGCACGTGATTCAACAGCCACTTGATTATCTCGAGATTCGGCTTTACCAGATAATCTTATACGTACATTAACAAATTTATTATTAGGAACACGAGCCTAGAAATAAACAAAAGAAAACATAAATGTTTAAAATGAAGAAATATTATTAATTTACTTTAAAAAAATATGTTTTAGTTCCTTCAATATCTAAAATAGACATTTTCAATGGTACCATTAGAAAAGTAGCAGGGATTGGAAAACCTATGAAATAAATTATTTTATTTTATTCTTTCATTATATTTATTCATACATTTTTGTGCTTTAGCTTCAATAGCATTTCTATACTAAATTAAATTAAATTAAATTAAAAGAAAATTTATAATTTAAATATATTTACATCTTCCCATAATTCTCGTGCATCATGTGTAACAGGAACTAATGGCGGAATATGATGTTGAGGTGCACTAAAACAGAAAAAAAATGATATATAATTTTAAGAGATTCTATAAAAAATATATATTTATTATTCACCTTTGTCCATCACCCTCTGTTCGAGTGTTCGATACATCTGTTGAGGACATTTCAAATCTAAAAATAAAGATAATAAATATCTTTTTTTATTGCATATGTCAGTTTGTACTCTGTAATAATGAATATGTGAACGAGTACATCGTCTGTTTTTTTGTTAAGTGTTTTCAAGCACAAATTATACGAATTCACACGGTAGATATTTCGTTCTGTTCTTTTTTTTTCTTCTTTTAATGACTATAGTAAATCGAAATTGTCTGTTTAACGGCCATGAATAAGAAACCAAAAAGAGGGTAAAATACGAAACTTATGCGTGCCACAATATATCGGACACGTGCGATCTCTATCGGCGATGAGACTTAAGAAAAGAATAACATCACATTTTTCATATTCATTCAGTCGAAAATATCAGATAGAAATAATAGTTCACAATGAAATTTCATTATGTATTTCATGTAACTATAAATACAAGATAATATTTTTAAACGTACAGACAATAAACAATACGATTATTATTTTTTTATTTAATTAAATTACGACTATAGCAAAAGAATGTCTTATTTTTCTCAAAACTATACAATCTGAAATTGTTATGTATGATAATAGAGCAAATTGAATTGATACAAATATCTCATTTCAGTCTCGAAACTAATAAATGAATCATTTCACTCGACTGTCTTGATGTAAAAATAATTTCTTTTGATTACACTAAGACGTAGAAATTTTTAAAACAAGTAATTTGTACAAAATAAATATTCTATTTTGAAAATAGTTTCAATAATTCATATTACACCATAGGTTCTACTCAATAATTATATCAATAATATGCTGTTGCACAAGGACATATCACTCGGAAATACTAGAGGAAATTGCCAATTACTCAGTTCGACAACTTGATTCTATCTTGTAATGAATACAATGGATTCAAAACTGTTTGTCAAATTGGATTCCAAAAATAATCTGTAATTCGTTTTTTTAATAATAGAGATCTAAGATTATCTTCAATCAAATTGTAAAACATATATAATTATTTGTAATGTCAAATTTCTAAATATGCACCACAAATAAATTGATTTTATATTTATACAACATACTCATTTGATCTAAATGTATTTTCTAGTAAGTTTCCATTGATTAAATTATAATAGAGATTATTATTTTATATGATTAGTAGATAAATATGTTTCTGTTTTTAGTCAATCTAATGTTGCAAAACAATCGATGAAATACTAAGAACAAAACATCGACTTTTTTATTTCATTAAAAAGATAGTGCAACCAATTATCTATTGTTATATAAATAAATAGTTCTCTTATGCTGAATGTTTCAAAATGTATAACTCTAAATGGAGTCATTGTTCTATAATTACTCAAGTCATATTATATAAAAATGCTCACGTGGTCAAATTTGTCATAATTAAGTAGAATGGATATCATTGCATTTTTTTCAAAGTAAATGTACCATATAAAATAATATTAACCATTTAAGTCTGTAATGTCAAGAACTTATTTCAATTATTCCTTAATACCGAATAACCTGTCAGGAAATTGTACTGTAAGAAAACGTGATTAAATTTTACCTAGTACTTATCCACGTGACGTCAAGGTGTAAATACCGCCAGCGCCTGTTTCCATCAGAAAAAAACAACCCACACAGTGAAATATATAATTAAATCAAAATGTATGTACAGGGTCATTGTGCACTATGAAACATGTAGAATATCTTAATGTTTATTTCTAAATAATTTACTATATTTAAAGATAACCTATTATATATCTCTTACAAAAATATGTTTTGTTGACAATTGTTTTTCTTCGCAAAATATTATTAGAGTAGTGCATTATTTTTTTAACATTTAGCAACGTTTTAATAACATTATATCATGATCATATGATCTTTCTTTTCTTTCTGTGTACACATCGATAAAGCTGAGAAAGTCATCGATATTATACAATGAGTATTTCAATCATATGTATAAAAATGTATAGCATCAAACGGCATTTCACACTCATTAGAAAGAGGAACGAATGAATACACCAGATTGTATACCTATTTGAACTTATTGAAAAATAGTCAATGAAAGAAAATTAAAAATGTACACAGCTTGTTGACAGGACTAATATGTCAATGAAACATAGATAACTTTTCAATTAACGAACAACTAGAATGATTGTTTATCTTTGACTAATGAAGTGTAATAGAGTTAGATGTGTCAATTTGTTTTCCATATTGTCTTTTGTTACAACTAGACATCAAACAATTTTTTTAACAAAAAAGAAAAGTTTTCAAAGACTTGCTTTTGTGATCCCATGGATTGAAAAAAAATGAATTCAATTTTTCCATATCGTTTTTTAAAAATCAAGTCTTTTGTTCATTAATTCAAAATAAGACCTCTGATTACTAAAGAAAGATTTTACAAGCATAATTTTAATGATCTTTATAACAGTAATTGTGCAAGATTTTGTTCGATGCTCTTAATCCGAATTGTTATTAGAAGAAATGATAAGACGATTATCTCTCTAATTGATGATTATTAATCATGGATAAAGATAAATGAATTAGATTTTACAAATCTCATCAGTAAGATTTATACAAAACATTATTTGTTTAGTATTTCGATGAAATTCTTTTTTTTCGTCTTCAAAATAAATGTTTTTAACACCTAAAGTTTAAACATTCGATTTGTTCCAGCTTGTACACACCAGCAGATGATTTCGTCATCGTTAACGATACATCTTCTTTTTTCTTTTCAAGCTGTTGATGATGTTCAAAATAGACAAGACATAATTGACGAAACAAAAAGAAATGACTATTGGTCAATATCATTCTAATTGAAAGAGAGAATTTTTTCTGTTGGTTGAATTGAAATAAGAAAAGTAGAGAAAAATCATTTCGAAGAAGATATATAAGATCAATTAGTTTAATTTTCACGTTCATTTTCTAATTCAAATATATTTTTCATTTGTAGAAAAACAAGAACAAGCACATAATATGTCAACATACTCTGGTCCACCATCAGGTAATCCATACTGGTATTATGATCCTCATGGATATCAACCAAATGTTAGTGTATCATTCAATACAAATATTTCAGGTTTGTATTTTTGAAAGATAATTGAAAATTTATTAAAATTCATCTCTTTCAATTTTGTTAGTTAATA